TTATGTTCAATGAGTTAGCCTATATGCTTATTATTCCTTTTATGATTTGAAAGTTTGCTTGGATTAACTTAGTTTTTCTTCATTGTTCTAAAAACACTGAGGCATATATTGCTCCTCTGAAGCACTTGGGTTAAAAGCTCCAGTACTGCCATTCTCCACAATAAGGTGGGAGTGGAACATTTGAGATACATTCCTTTCCCTGTAATCGTGGTTCCTCCTTCGTAATCGAAGGTTAGAGTATCAAGAGACCATTATATTTGCATAATATTTTTATGTTGCTAGATATATAGCATATGTGCCTCAGTATCTGTGTTTATCCAATGTTAGAACTAAAAGAATGAAAATTCAGTATAAGTTAAAGGTGTCACTCTTACCAACATGCTTCATACTGACTGAGCACAGCTTACCACATTTGTAAGCACAGCTTACATATTTCTTGCTAAAGGCTAAATGTGAATCGAAATTTCAGTACCTAGGTCTCCAGTTACATTTCTATCTCTAGGCTTTAAACACTTTGTTAGAACCATCTTATGGACCATCTCAAGACATCTTACTTAGAGATAAGGAAGCTGAGGCAGCGAGAGAAAAACATAGCTTTTTCATATTTGGGTTAGTTACAGAACAAAGCATCTTGTGAAGTCTAAGCTTAAGATTTATTTCCATAGAAAGTCACACAAATGCTGACAATATTATTGTTTCCATGAGAGCTTATTTTTTTGTCCTCATTTTCCCACACTCATTGTATGTGCCAGTGGAGATGTATTTTCCTGGTCCAAGTATGGAGATAACCCATTCTCTCTCCCTCTCCACTTTTTGCCAGCACTAAATGAGAACTTATAAAGGTCTTAATCAGAATAGAAATGGCTGAAACATATCTGTGAGCTATGGTAGATTAATTTTTGTAAACCTTGTAGTACCTAGTAAAATGCTCTGCATACAATCTTTATTAAGAAATATCAAATAAACTAAGATGTACACAATTTCAATATTTAACAGTTTTCATTGAATTTAATAACAATTTCATAATTTGGTTTAGTTATTGAGTTTATTCATTTATATACTAGCTTCTCAGAAAGAATTGTAGAATTGATTTGATTGAACTCCTAATGAAGAGGGTCAATGTTAAACTGGTGGAAACTTACAAATGTTAAATACAACAGTTTAAGAGAAGAATGGAATCAGTATTTACTAATTCGTTAATAAATGCAGACCCCACATTAAGCTATATCTCATTTAATAAAGACAACTGCTCTCCTAAGTTTTATTATTATTATTATTAATACAGGAGGAAACTGAGAACAGGAGAAGCATATTTCTCAGAATTGGGAATTGAGGCTGTTAGAATTTAAACTGATTCTGATTAAGATGCAAACCAACCAAATGAATTACCCAGATACAATTTAGTTCAAATATAGATAGGAATAAACTAAAAGATGGTGTGTCTATAAGCATATTTACTTACATTCGTATACGGACATGTCTATTTATTTTTACAGTAACATTTTCAGTGATTACCGCTACTATCTTCCAAGCGTCTGCACAGGGAAATTGAAGCTATACTGCGTTAACTGTTTGATGGTAATAAGTCATAAGTGCTTTCCTATGCTCCATAAACACAGATTCATTAGTTTGCTCATATAATTTATGCTAATATAATACATATTATATTTACAAAATATAAAGGAGAAATGCCTTTTCTTTTTTTAAGTTAAAACAGGCTGCTTGAATCCCATACATTTTCATGATATGTGGAATAAGACTGGAATCTAGCCTGTTGTTTAATATTTGGTTATTAATTGTGTCACCAGAAACCTTGCACTGATATATAGCATCAAGTTCAGTCAGAGATCACGGATGCTATTAATTCTGTCATTACCATAAGTTCTTAGTCATTCATTTCAGAGGAGAGTCTAAGAAATGTTACCATGTGCCCTTGTTCCAGTTATCCTTCCTTTTAACAATTTTTACAGGGCTTTGTGAGGATTGGAAAATTCAGTATTTCCTGGATATATCATTTTTATCTTGATAATTACCAGTCTGTTGTCCTTATGAATGCTCAAGTACAACTGTGAAAAGATTTCTAACTTTATTCTACCATTTAAGAAATATGTTCTTCAAGTAAGCTTTAGTTTCAAAATAAAATGTTATAGTTTTGAGTAAGCTGTGTCCCTCAGCACGAAATGAACAGACTGCAAGGACAATCCACGCTTGGATATTGATCATAACTGAAGCAGATTATTATATAATTTAACTTGGTGACAGGAAACGATCATAAAACGGGGTCAAATGAATATACAGGCAAAATTAAGTTTCTATTTACCTATATTATATACTAATATCTCAAATAATTTACTTGTGATTTAGTTCCTGCATGAATTCACACATGGTCTGGCAATCCATCTGGTAGCATGTTTCACGTAGATGTTAAGAGCAAAGACATTAGTTCTAGGGATTTATTCTATGGATATTCTGTAAGTAAACAAATATTCAGAGTGTAAGGATGTTCCAAGAAACATTGTTTATAATAGCAAAAATAACTGGAAATAACCAGCATTTCATTAATAGGAATCAGAAAAAAAATTATGGAATAACCATATTATAGAAGAGAAAAAAAAGCATACCAGTATGGGGTAAATTTATACATATATATTACAATATATATATAGTATATATATATATATATATATATATATACACTATATGTAAACATATATACACTATATATACACAAACACACACATGTGCTTCTTTATATATTTATAAATATTTATATATTTGTGGAATATATCTGGAGGCATACACAGGAAACCATTAACAGTGTTTAACTTTGGGAGTAGGGTTGAGGGTAGAGCAGAGGGTGGAGAGCATAAGAAAGAGGGAGAAATAGATGTACTTTTCATTTAATATTTCTCTATAGTGTTTGATTATGTTTTGTACAATTAGTATATGCTATTTCTAAAACGAAAGCCAATCAAAACAGAAAAATGAAACAAAAATTAGAACAATAACTAGGAAAATAGAGCAAAAGTACTATGAGAGCTTAAATTCTCACTGTCAATTTTTCTTAGAGTAGACATAACCCTGCTGCTTCAGTAATTTCAGAGTGATCTTACATGAAGAGCAAACAGAAGGCTAACTCAATTTCCATGGGCAAAGAGGAATTTGTGAGTTGTATACTTCTAAAAAAATAAGCAAAATAATTTGTTACTCTGTTCCCATCATGCACAGTGTGACTTCCCTGTCAAAGAAAGGGGAAGCCTAAAGAAACACTCAGGAAAGGGGAAGTCTAAAGAAACAGTCAAGGCCACCAGCTCTGGGGCCCACTATGAGCCACGCGTGCACTTCAGTAAAGAGGTTAGAGGTTATCAGCTTGCTAAGGCTTTTCAGCTCATGTCTGCCTCACACTGTCAGCCCTCTCATTCCCCTATATCAAGCTAGTTCTCTTTTGCAAAAAAAAGAAAAAAAAAAAAGATGTAAATTATACTGGAAAAACAAGAGTATTTCAACATGTTTCAAAATCTAAGAATTATTAGTCTGCATATTTGCTCAGCCGATAATATGGGTAAATTCGTATGGAGTGTGCAGTCTGTACCAGGAATCATTCCAAGCTCTTTCCATGTATTCATTCATTTTGTCTTTTTACAGTCCTCAAAGAGAGGTACTGTTATTACAAATCTAATCATTCAATAAGAAAATATAGGCTCAGAGAACTTATGTAACATGTTTACCAACAAAATTGCTCTTTACCTACTCTAAAATAGAATCCCTTTTTACTACAATGTATTAGAAGTACGATGTAAAAGTAAAATAACTTTTCAAGATAAATTCATTTAAATGTATTTATTCTAAGATTGAAGATATAATACAGATCAAAATAAATAATTCTTGCATGCTTAGCTCAATGATTAAAAGTTAGTGATTAACTTTTCATCATAAGCTATGCACAAATACATATATCAATTTCTCTCCTACATTGCTAGAAATATGAAGTAGAATTATTGAAATGTTAATATTCTTTCAATTTTTTCAACTCTTTGACTAACAACATTGGATTAACAGTAGTCTTACCTTTTACATAATGTTTTAAAAACGAGTTCGTGTTAAAAAAAAAGATTTTAGCAGACAGTATTTTATAAACAGGAAAACACAGGTTAGTAAAGGCGAAAACCTCTGACCACAAAGTAACTCATTAGAAGTAACCTACCTAGAATCAGAAGTTATTGAATTTTTCCCTTGTGGTCACACCGCAAACCATGAAAGTGTGTGGTGTACCATCTGAAACACATTAAACTTCACTGGTACTTTAAATAGTTTTCCTAAACCATTAGCCATACAGAAATCTAATTAGTTTACTAAATGTGCATCATCCACCATCATATTTACTCAAAACTGGAAGAAGACATACAGAGTACAGCAATCTCTATTAAGTTGGATGAAATTTTATATGCCATCCCCTAAAGCAGGAAATCTGTCTACAACATATTTGAAAGTTGGTCATTTCCCCCATTTTGAGCATATTTCAGTGATTGGACGTTCTCTACTTTTAGACATAGCTTTTTCAACTTTGAAATTCTTACTGACTATAAAAGTTCTTAACGTGATTCAAAATTTGCTTCCCTAATTTTTGACCCATTTGTTCTGGTTCTTCCAAATGGAGCATATAGCTCCAAAGAAAGTCCATTCTTTCTTTCCTGTAGCAGCCCTCCCAGTATCTGTAGACAGCCATCACATCTCACTAAGTTCTTTCCGGGCTAGTTGTCTCCAGCTGCCTCCCAGTTTCTTATAGGACTGTCTTCCAACTTCTCATTGGCTGGGTAATATTTCTGCTGGGAGAGGGTT